TTAGTCTACCTAGTATTATCCTCTAAAAAATGTTGTGTTTGTCTAAAAACTTAGTTTACCTAGCATTTTTCAATATTATCGGATCACAGAGTAGTATAACACATGCCATTATACAAGTGTAAGGTCACTTAAAAATAAAACTCCTCATGCTTGTGTAATGATAAAGAGTACACCACTCATGTTCAGACAGAATAAAAAATTTCTTGTTTGGTACAAGTAAACTGTGGCTTGTTTGGCGGGGAGGAGTTTTGTGTTGGGTCATGGGAGGTTTAATTAATTAAAAAAAAATTGGTTTGAAAAAACAAAAAAAAAAAAATTTAGTATTTCAATGGTAAAGGACAAAAAGGTATGGTCAATCTCTCAGACTTTTGAGAAATTGAATAGCAGCCCAATATTGTAGTCCAGGAAATTAGCCCAATGGTAGCTCAAATCGATACCAGCAGCCTGCTTAGTGCATTATTGATTAAAAAAAGTCATTACACTAGTACATAGTGTATCCAACATTTGTACCCTTCTCTAAATTAGGTTCTCATTCTTTTTTTTTTTTCTCACTAATTGAGACTTTATTTTTTTTCATTTTTTTTATCAAGGTCCCTTCACTTTTCTCCATGTTATTATTTAAACATTAAATTATTTACAAGTCATCATATGTCAATTTATAATTTTAAAAATGAAAAATTTATTAATCATTTCCAAATATATTTTTTTAGTATATTTTTCATATATTTCGATTTATAATTTGTACCCCATTTTAAAATTTGTATTAATATTCTTTTAAGTTTTGATTTGTACCCATAATTTTTTAATTTAATATGTACTAATTTGTACCCATATATATATATATATTTTGTGAATGTACCCATGCTAATTATATGTATTTATTTTATTGTTTTAAATATATCAATAGTTATTTCTTAAAATATATTAATAATTACGTGGGTTACATTATTTTTTTTTATATTAAAACTATGTGAAAAATCATATTACTCTATTATTAATTTTTAAGTAATTGTTATATTGTAAAATATTATTTGAATTCGTTTAAATTTCATAATTTGTGGGACATTGAATGCATAAATGCAGGAGTTAAATTCCTTACATAATGTTAGGGACCTTGATCAAATTATTTAAACAAATAAGGTTTCATTCTAATAATTTAGTTAACTAGGGACTGGAACCAAAATGACCCTATCAAATAAGATAGAGTTTTTTTGTTCACGCACTCATTTTCTCATCTGCACGTTCTGTTTATTTATATACTCCGTGACTCTCATTTGTTTATCTAATTTACTGACCGATAATAAATAATAATGTGTCGTGTGAGAAAATGTGTTTGTAAAAATTCACTTTTGTGTTTGTTAAATATATATATATATATATATATATTGAGGGATTCATTAATATTTAATAGCACTGAAAAACATTCATCATGCACACATCTCTTTTCTTTCATACTTTTTAGTTGGTATAATTATCCCCTTAATTATCAATTCTGTCGTTATTTTTCTGTTAATTTCTCACGTGTGGTACACTTGACCAACTTTTAAGAGCATATGCATCAATAAAACGCTAACTTCAGAAGGAGAACTAGTAAATACTTGAAACTCGGATAATTGAATTATGAGAAATAAGTAAAAGCAGTAATACAAACTTAACATGCAATAAGTTCACAACTCACGAGCATTGCTAATTAAATTTTTGCTTTTATTTTTTATGGAATAAAGTACATGCGACAATTTGAATGAAATTTTTTTGAAATGTTATACGAATATATAGACTTTTATTAATTTGTCATATGAATTAAAATTTTAAGCGATTATCATACTAACTTTTTGAAATCATTACTTTGTCATCTCACTGTAACTCTGTTACGTTTTCCATCCAAAATAAGTCATGTGCCTTGCACATAACTTGTGTTCAGGATTATTTCAACATAATGAATACCATCCAACTTTACCATAGATTGGATGACCAATGACTATATTTTGGGTCATCTTCAATCCGAAACACATTGAAGTGATAGCTCGTTCTCCTTTTTCAAACGACAAACCCTCATATCATCGTATACTAGATCAACCCCTTTTTGTATTTTGTTCTAGAAATCCTAGATTTATTTTTATCGAAGGGGGAGTGAGGTGTTGAAATGACCGAAATAACCTTGGATACAAGTCATGTGCAAGACACATGAACTTTTTGGATGTAAAACTTAACAGAGTTAGGGTGAGATGACAAATTAATGTTTGAAAAGTTGATATGACAAATCGCTTAAAATTTTACTTCATATGACAGATTGAAAAATGTGTATAAGTTCATATGACATTTTAAAAAAATTTCTAATTTAAAAAGCTTTTGTATTTTAATGGTATGAAACATGCACATGACCGACAACATTTACACCCTTAATTGTTATTTTATTTAGCAAATCATTAATGAAAATCATATCTCTTGGCTTAAACAAAGAGTGAAAAAAGAACATAGGATCGATGCCAACAAGTAAAACATGCCGACCTTGCCCAAATGAAACCTGCATCATTGCTTTGTTGTGTCCATCTGTATGTTCATGTCCTATCTAATGATTCACCTCGTATGCAAGATTCGTTTAATATAATATGAAATGATAGGTTTTTACAAAAACAAGAAGACTAGCTACGGTTCAAACATTTGCCAGTTGCAAATAATGAGAAGCAATAATTGAAATTATATACATGAAATAATAGATCTTTCTAGTGTATAAAAAATAAGAAAAAAAAATCCGGAGATGGTGGATCCTATGAAATGATTTCGAATCAAGACATAGAGAGATTTTTCAGTGTGCAAGAAACATAACTCGGTACACCAAATGTAATAATATAAGTAGTTGAATACTTAAAAAAATTCAACTATATTTGTACTATGACACTTGATGTACAAGACCGTACTCCCGATACACTAAAAAACTTCTCCAAGACATGATCAAGAACGAGTACACTTGTCCTCCTTTGGACCCTTCATTGAGCTTTAGCCTTAAGTGAGAAAGTTTTATGAGCATTTTAAATTCACATGAGAAATTATATGAAATAATAGATGATTTTATGTACGTCATCGGAAAAAAAAAAAATCCTGAATTGATGGATACTATAATGATTTCAAATCAAACCATGATCAACAACGAGCACACCTGTACTCATTTTGATCCTTGATCTTATTATCTTTCACTAAGAATATTTTATGAATGAGAAATGATTTTCACTCTTATCTTTTACATCACTTAATTTGTATTTTCTGATTCTCTTTTGATTTATTCAATTTTACAATTATAGGAAATGAACGAACAAATGTCATTTTCCAATCTATTTTGATGTATTTTTTTTTATAGAAATATGGCTTATTTGTTGAAGATGAAAATGGGCAGTACTGGTGAAGTGCCGCTCTTATAGGAAATGGCGACCTTTGCATCGGAGCGGAACCATTGTAGTTCTTTATGAGAGGGGTAGCACAAAAAACCTGGTCGACCGCCTCTTCCAGCTTTTTCTTTCACTAGCTGGCACTTTTTCTCTCATATAAAGTATATATGTTTAGGGACCAACTTCAGGAGGAATGAGGTATGAAATATCCATTTTATGAACTTGATGAAGTGTACATTTGGAGAAGAAATTTTGAGGGAGATCACATGTAGTAGTTTGTTGTCCCACTCTATAAAGCCGACCACAAATGAACATTTCTGCATATTCCAATATTCTTTCGGATGTTTAATTTAATATGTCAAAGAATGCATGATGGCACAGTCACTGCAACGCATACATGAACGTGTATGCAAGTGACAAGCAGCCAACAGGCAACGGTACTGGAAGTTTCCATTGGCTCTGAAAAATCTATAAAAATCTCAAACAACGATGATTTTGACCTTTCCTAGTTGTATCACTCCCATTTCAATATTATATGTCAAGACATCACTCCCATCTCAATATTATATGTCGAGAGAATCTTGAGTGAGGTGCCACGTATGTGGCCAGGCTTGTGCTACCACTCAATACAAAGCTGTAAGGCTGCCAGTGCCAGAGGTGGAACAGATGAGTTCTGATGAACCAAAACACATGTGTTGTGTTTTTGTGTGGCTGCAAGGTGGAAGGAACCAATCATTTTAAGTGACGAAAGTTCTACCAATAGGTGGTGAAAGAACTAATAATTAATTGCAAAGTTAGTTATAATTTGCATTATACTTGGAGAACTATTGGTTTCCAATTTTTATAGGCTCCATTTTATTTTTAGTTTTTATTATTTGATTTAGAGACATAGGAAAAATATAAGGGCGAAAATATGAAAGAATAATGATTACTGATTGAGGGAGGAGGAAGAAATGAAGGAAATTTTTAGGAAAAAAGATTTAAAATTACTTTTAGTTTTTATTTTGTGTATCTTTTCACATAAATCTTTATCACTCTCCTTCCACCATCACTTCTCCACCATTATTTATCCATCCCATCTCTCACACATTTCAATCTCTATCTCTATCTATATCACAAATAATAAAACTCAAAACCTAAAAATGGAATTGAAACCAAACATATGCCCTAATTATATTTTCCATAAATTTTCAAGTTTAGCATGCATATACATAGTTCGATATCGTTTGCTTCACAAAAGATTTATACGGAAACATATAGGAATGCAAGACAAACAGATATTTGTTATGAGTTTGATTCACAGTTGTGTTTCCAATGTTTAGTGTACCGTTGCTTTTTTTTGGGTGTGCGGTTGCAAAATAGCATATTTATAAACATTTTCTCATTTGTGAAACCACAAATCATAGATGACATCGCATAAAAATATAAAAAAAGATGGTGGTAAGTTAGACATGCTCGCAATCTATATGTAACAACTAACTAGTATATCTATAAATAGCTTTCCCCTTTGGACCATTAATGTACACAGCCATAATAGAAGAGAAAGACAAAGAGAGCTTCTGCTTGGTGAATACAAGCATTTTCCTGAGCAGTTGTTTTGATAATCGATAGGTTGATATGTTGACAATTGGATTGTCTTCTGTTTATCTATGGTGCAGTACTGCAGCCGGCATTGCTGGTATACCTTCTTCGTTTTTACACTATCTATTTCTGTGCGCGCGCACGTGTATGTATTGAGTGCATATATATGTATATATATTTGCTTATAACTTCTTCCATGCATTGATAAGCTTTAGATACATGCATGTTTCTGCTTCATGAAGCACAACCATGCATGAAATTTTTTGAATGACTTCATATCATCCTGTTGCGGATCAAGAACTTTACCTTGATTTAATTGTTAATTTAAGGTGAAAATTCACAAGTAGTATGGCCTTGCTTAATATTCTTGAATCTATAAAAAAATATTCAAGTTGTCATATTCACATATATCTTGCACAAAAGAAACGCCTGAGATTTGACATATGTATATTATATGGTTTTTATGACGTCTACTTCATCAGACGTGGGGATCAAAATTGAGAAAACCTGGTTATGATAACTTAAGAAACAATGTGAAACTCTTCAAAACAATCTGAGACATTTATTTATTAATTGTGCATGTATGTATTGTGAATATGATACAAGGCCCCATGCCTTGATACAATCATATGCCCTCAATTTTACTGTACTGGACAAGCTTTTTCTATGATCGGTTAATCTTCAGTTGTACATAGACTGGTCGGTGCATTTTATTTTTATTCAAACCTGATCCCAATTTGATGATAATCCATCATGATCCGAAGTCAATAACCCATTACCTTAACAAATCAAGTACGAATTAGAGCTAATAGTAATTTGATCCAAGTTAGTATATATAATTTGTCAATTATTTGTTTTATTACTGTATATAAATGTCATTTGAAGGAGGTCTTTTTCTGGTAGAATATAATCATTTTTTCAACTTCTTGTATGAAAAATAAAGTATATTATTGGTAAAAAAAAAAAACCTTTGCCGATCAAAGGAAATGTGTATAAAAAGTGTGATCGATGGGGTAGATATGCAAATTTGACAAACAAAAAAAAACGATTAGACATGCAAGAAACATTCTAACACTCATCTCTGTCAACTGCAGGCAATATCTGTGCAATTTCATTATATCTGTCCCCAATGTAAGTTGTTTATAAAGTTTATGAGAAGAATAGGAATTCATGAAAATTTTCGCTTCCTACTGACTTTTGAATCCTTTATGTTCTTTCAGGCCAACATTTAAGAGAATTATCACAAACAGGTCAACAGAACAATTCTCAGGATTGCCTTACATATACGGCCTTTTGAATTGCTTGATATGCACATGGTATGGCCTGCCTATAGTGAAGAGTGGTATTATAATGGTGGCTACAGTTAATTCAATCGGAGCTGTTTTCCAGTTAGTCTACTTGATCATTTTCATTATGTACGCCGAAAAATCAATTAAGGTAATCATCTCTCCCAAATTCTACCTGCTCTTCTTAAGATCAAGTCCCCTTTTCAACTCTGCATGACTGACCAATTGTTGTTCTTTAAAATGCTTATTGTAGTTGAGGATATCAGGATTGCTCGGAACAGTTTCTGTTCTTTTTGCAGCCGTCGTCCTGGTGAGCTTAAGACTTTCGGGCCACGAGAGGGAACTGTTCGTTGGATATATATGTGCATTTTCAGTAGTTTCAGTGTATGCTTCGCCATTGTTTATCATCGTAAGTTCGCATGGAATCATAATTATATTCTCCCTCAGGTTGCTGTGCAATTTCTTCTCATTGATGTCGTTTCACATATACCTTTTTTCAGAATTTGGTGATCAAAACAAGGAGTGTTGAGTTCATGCCATTTAATCTTTCTCTTGCAACTTTTTTGGTGAGTTTCTCTTTCTGTGCATACGGAGCGTTGCAGGGCGCCCCTTTTGTCTATGTAAGTATTCTTTTTCCTTGAGCGAATTTCAGAAGTTATATTATCACTCTAAGCAGTAACAACATCACAATTGTATAACTCATCAACTTGTGTTTATTATTTTTCATGCAGATCCCAAACGGTCTTGGAACAATTTTAGGGTTTGTCCAGTTGGTTCTGTACTCCTACTACTGCAGAATATCTGGAGATGATGACTCAAGAGAACCATTGCTTGTTTAATTTCGGATGCGTCGTGAACGAACTTACTGGACCAGTTTAAACTCAATGCAGTAAAATCAAAGCACAAGGTCATAAAATGTTGTAGTGAAGGGTATGGAGTTTCTACGTGATGCAGTATAGCATCTTACTCGTCTATCAACAAAAAAGATCTCAAGAGGGTAATATCAACCCTAGGTCAACTGTTGGATTATTTCCACAATTAGCACTGTTTATCTTCGCATATCTTCTCTTAATTAGTTGTTGTTATTATTTACTTAATTAGAAAATTATTGTAACAGTCTAGGGTTGTCACCATCGATAAGCATTAGCCTTGTAACTCATTAATCAGTTTTCTTTCTGTGCCCAGCCCGTTCGATCTTGTCAACTTTGTCCCGCTCATTCTTGCATAATTCACGCTCCCCTTGCATTGGTATATAAACTAGTAGTAATGTTATTCATACCATGTTTTTGTACCATATTTTCATACCACCTTAGGTAGCATTTGATGTAGACAGCCACATCATTTGAATTAATCAAAATTTTAAATTTATTTCATTATTTAATAAACTAATAATTAAGAAAAACTAGTTAATTAAATGATGATTGTGGTATACGAGGTGTCTTTCTACTTCCTTTCCTTGGGTTTTGCAAATTTTTCAAATGATGTGGTTGTCCGCATCAGATGTCACCTAAGATAGTATAGAAATGTGGTATAAAAATATGGTATGAATAGCATTACTCAGGAATTATTGATTAATTATTGAATAACAGTATCAAGTTTGCATGTGAATTAGCTCTTTCAACCTATTTTTCATCTAATATTATAGTACCATTAAATAAATTACAATTCAAATTCTCAACAATCCTCCACCTGAATTCAAAATTAAGAATGGGTGCTTCTATTAACACCCCATGATCTTATGAATACACCCCTAGTTCAAAATTAGTTTCTAAAATTCCAATTTTAGCCCTTTTATTTGTTGAAGACATCCCACCTTTTTACAATAGTTAACAAATGGAAAGCTTCCAACCTGCTCACCCGCCGCCACCTTCTTCGTTAGTGTCGTCGACCAATGATAGTCACCTTCTTCCCGCCGTTCTCTCTCGAGAATTATCACTTCTGCTAATATTTTGCAAGACATGGAATACCATAAAATCGAAAATTTTAATGCCGAAATCAGCCTAGTCAGGGATACCTATGGGTGGGATAAATCTGGAAAAATGCTACTTGCAGAGAAGCAATCCTTCCGTAGTCAACTAGGAATTGACTTTCTATGAGTTTAATTGTAAGTCGGCATATGGTTTGGTATACTTAAGGTGTCACCATGGTGGGTGGCTGTTGAGGAGTAGTATGGTGAAGAAGGTGGTGCTAATTTTGTTTGTTTACTTTTTATCTAATTTAAATAAGGGTAAAACAGGAAGTCCAAACCAAATAAAAAAGGGGTACTTTGGATGCGATCCCTTATTACCAATGTTCTTTGATTGAAACCTTGGTGGTTTTTAGTTTTTTATCGAAGTCCCTGACATTAATGTAATAATGTATTTCCATGTAGGTTATTATATTTTTAAATTAAAAATGAATTTTGTAGTTATTTATATTAATGAGATTTTAAATAAAACCCATATTTTATGGGATTAAAAATATTGAAGATGAATTATACTCTCCAATATATTATGTGTGTATATATATACATACACATGGGTACGTTCATCAAAACTAACCAAAAAATTATTGTACCAAAGCATGGGTACATTTTCAAAAGCACAAAAAATAAATAAAAATAAATAAATAAATATTAGCCTTAATAACATTATTAAATGTACCCATATAAGTTTAACAAATAATTAGATCTACTAGGTTGACTAAGGGCAATGCCAATTTCTATTGTCACAACTCAAAGTCAATATGTCAATTAGTATTACAGTTTAGTGATATTCTTCTTTACTTATAAGTGAGAGATCGGTTCGATTTTCGCCAAATACAAATTTCAACCACATTATTGCTGACCTATTATGAAGCTAAACACATCTCCTCCCCTTTAGTGTACATAATATTGTTTGTTTCCACAAAAAAAAAAAAAAAAAAAAAAATCTCAAAGTCAATATCACCGTCACAACTAAAATGGTTTAGGGGAATAATTACATGTTTTTTTGTTAAAAAAAATAAAAAGAATATTAAAATAAAAATGGTAAAAGTCAATAAAATTTGCCTTTACGTAAGCAGTTGTCATTTCTTTGACCAATCCATGCAAACACAAAAATTTTGCAAAACATAAAAATGGCTAAAAAAATGATGTGCTAAAAAGACTTATGATGCACAAATTTTGGTCAACTTTTCTAAGGTCAAACACCCACTTGACTTTAAAGTGGAGAGATATTTTATGTGCTCATAACACATAATAGTACGTTATATATTTATTATACAAATGAAGAAATTTTTTTTTCAAGTGTTCCTCAGAGCACCAAGAATTCAAAGCTTTTCAGACAATGTACATCGGGAATTTGGTTGCCTTTCTTCTCCGATTAGAAGGAAAAAAAAAAAAACTGACACAGTGAGAGATGCCAATAGTTTAAAGGGGAAAAAACTATCGTTATTAATCAATTTTTCCATTTTTTGTGATATATCAAAACTGCCTTCGGACCTAATGAGTCCGGCCCATTAGGTTCCACCAACTATTGCTCAATCATGAAAAATGATCGATTTGATTATGGCCTTGATGGGAAACCAATTTCCAAGATGCTTCTTATCTTGGGGGAGGTCATTTTCATATTTTCATGGGACATATCTTGGGTCAACAATTTAAAATAAATTGACTCTCTCATTATGTATGTGTATCATATTAACTAGTTATTACGCATAAAAATAACTTCATCAATGATTTCTACGTACTCGTTTTTTCTTTTTTATCCTCATCTCTTGTTATGTCACTTGATTGTCTATTGCATTATTAAATGCAAATGCTAGAGAGTGCAAAGGTAGAAGCTCACCGCTTATAATTGTTTGACTGGAGTTGAACCAAACTTGAAAAGTAGTCGAATTTCACGGTAAGTCTAGAGAAACTTCTGTGACTTAAATAAGTTATTTTATTTCGCACCGAATGCAGAGTTATTTTTCCATTGGACCTAGGATCCAAAGCGTGACAGGCAACATGCCTAAGCCCGCATAAGGGGTTGAAGGAGAAATTTTCAATATACTGGGAACACGGTCTAGTACACTTAGTGTCAAAATACAATTAGTCCAAAAAAAAAAAACTAAATTTTCAACCAATTATATTATTACATTTGTTGTACTTAAACATGTCGACACATTGAACAATCTCCCCACGTTCATATCAAGTTCATTCAAATATGTCTCTCGCAAGAAAGAGGGGTAGTTCAACGTCAAATACAACATCTTCCAATGGCAACGTTTACAGTAAAAAACTGCATTGCTGGTTCCGCTGGTCTTGGGTCCCTATAGAAGCTAACTAGGCTGCTATGAGGAGGAAGCGCGTGGACAATTGGATTCAATGTAGTCGCCCTTAGTTTCTGGGCAGACTTTTGCTTTTTCGCTGCTTTTGCCATGAATGGCTCGCGTCTGTAGCTTTTTATGTTCGCTTGGCTTCATGCCTCCTTGTTTCTTTATGATCCGGTACATCAAATATTATAATTTAAATAATTAAATATTTTAAAAAAATTATAACTATTTATATTATGATATTTAATTATAACTAACTTAATTCAGTGAGCTGTGATAGGCTTTGCTCCTTTTCGCCATGATGTGATGTTTCTTCCAATATAATATACTTTCTAGTCTGAGTATGAAAATTTTTCACATTCAAATTTTTGGATTGTTTCCAACTTCCCATAATGGTTTTATCTTTACTCTTCAGATTGATGGGACAAATGAAGCAATGCAAACATTTTAACCTAGTTTTCATTCGAACACTAAAATTATATGATAATATTAAATTTTCGAACCCAACTTGCCAATTAACATCGATTATGCACTTAAGGTTACGAGTTCGATTTCTCGTATTAATATAAAATTTTCAAACGCAAACTTTATCTGTGTATTCAATGTGATACATCATCAGTAATAAGTTACCAACTTCATTTGCTTAGGTCATATCCGTACGCATGTATAAAACATTTAAAACCGAAGTGAAGTTGGAAGCTTATCACCGATCATGTATCACATCTAGTACCGTAGGTAAAGAAACAATTAGGTCAAGTGAAAACAATTTAATATTCTACGTAATCTCCCAAGAAAAAAAGGAAGAAGCAGGGAAAAAAAGGAATTTTAAGAAGATTTTCTTAAGTAGAACTGGACTCTCTACTACATAAGTAAGATTGTTTATAAATTTTCTGTTATATTATAATTTAACGTTAATTGAAAAAGAAGAATAAAGAAGTGTCTGGTACCATTCTTTGCAAATTATTAGAGACCAGTAAAGAAAAGCAATTATTGCGAATCATGTCAACGTAGCATGAAATGAGTCAGGCACTTTCAAGCACAGGCTTTTTTTCTATTACATTAAATATCTTTACGGAAATGTTAAGAATACCTCTTAAAAGTGGAACTATCCATAACTGTTTATCATCTTGTGTTTCTTGCACAACTTTTATAATGTTAACATGAAAATTAACGTTAAACTGTAAAATGAAAAAATCTATAAAAGATCATACTTTGAAGAATTCCCTTAGCATTTCTCTATCTTTATCGGCCAACTTAGAGAGACCAGGAAGGTTTTGAGAGCTCCATTTTTGTTGGGTACATATATGATATAGTAATATTGGACGAGAAGATTTGATCAAGACCCCATGTGATGATTGCTTGTCGACCGACTCAATTTACCCGACCACAAAAAGGGCACTCAGCACACCCCAATAATTTATCGAGAGTTTAAATCTTTTGTATTTATTTTGTGTGTAACTCTTCTTGTTGATTGACACGTGTTAATAAATTTAACTCTTTTTAATTTTGTGATCATAAACTAACATGTGTTAATTAATGATAGAGATCACAAAAGATCATATACACAAAATAGATACAGAAGATTTGATCTCCTCTATCGGATACTCAATTTGTTAGGTCACAGATTCAGACTATATAACACCTGTTAAACCTGATGAAAGTTCTATTAAAGAGTAGTGAAAGGACCAATGGCTGCAAAGTTTGAATTATATTACATAATTTGATGGTTGTAAGTTCTTACTACGACATTAATTACTCATCTGAGTTTTCCTCTCAACGTTATTTTATGATATGAATCAGACAATTTCTAAGAAATTATTTAAAAATCACGGTTGCAAAAAATCAAATCGAAAATCGTTTCATTTTCGTAAGAAGTTTTCATTGTTTGGAGGAAGTATTGTGTTTAGATGACTAGCCTTGGAAGTATTATACAAACTCGTTGAAAAATCTCCAAAAGAGTTGGTAGTAAATAAATAACACATGGTCCCACATCTTTTGAGCCTCCCTTATGGACCCTAATGTACAAGGCTACAAAATAGATACAGAGAGAAGAGAGGGAGCTTCTGCTTGCTTGGTGTTTTGAATATATACATTCATAATTTCTTATAACCTGGGTTCTCGTAATTGATAGATCAATGTTGTCAACTGAACTGTCTTCTGTTTATCAAAGTTTCTGCGATGGAGCCGGCGTTCTCGGTAACCTTCTTCATTTCTGCACCATATAATCTCTTTCTTTATGCTTCTTTGATTATATGCTTTGGTTAGATGCAGATTTCTGCTTGTCATGAAGCGCAGCTATGAATTCTTTTGAATGACATTATAATATATTGTCACGGATCGATAAGTTTACCTTGATTGAATTCTTAGTTCAAGGTGAAGAATTCATATGCCGTATGGTTTTGCTTAGTAATTTTGGAATCTGAATAGAAAATTCATATACCTTGCAGAACAGAAATGTCTGAGGTTGTAGGATATATTTATATGTTGTTTCAGATGCCTTATATGTAGACGTGTCAATGGATCGGATTTTGATCTGAATCCTATACAGTTAAGAGAGTCTCAACTTTTTATCTCAATTTCATGATCCGAATCAGATAACAAGTTGGCTTAACAAATCAATATGGATTACTGCAACCTGAAAAATTCTGCCAATTCACAAACAAGATGGTAGTTGTGCAAGTAACATTCTAACACCCATCTCTGTCAACTGCAGGGAATATCTTTGCCTTTGGGTTGTATCTGTCACCACTGTAAGTTGCTCAACAAAATTTTGCCAAAAATGGAGATTTATGAAATTTTTTTGCTTCCCACACAAATTGTTAATCTCTGTCATACTTTCCCACTGATTGTTAATCTTTGATGTTCTAATTCCAGGTCAACATTTAACAGAATTATTAGAAACAGGTCAACAGAACAATTTTCTGGAATGCCTTACATATATGGACTTTTGAATTGCTTGATATGTTGCTGGTATGGAATGCCTATAGTGAAGAGTGGTATTATACTGGTGGCTACAGTCAATTCAGTTGGGACTGTTTTCCAGTTAGTTTACTTGAGCATTTTCATTTCTTATGCCGAAAGAGCGGTTAAGGTAACCGTACCTTCATCTTTTCTTATTAAAACACCTTTTACCTTTGCATTACTGACTATGTGTTGTTCTTTAAAATGTTTATTGCAGATGAGGATGTTGGGATTGTTAATTGCAGTTTTCGTTCTATTTGTGTCCATTGTCGTTGTCAGCTTAAGTCTTTTCGACTACAATGGGAGGCAACTATTTGTTGGATACTTGAGTATTGCTTCACTTATTTTCATGTATGGTTCGCCATTGATTGTCATAGTAAGTTTGTGCTGGATGATCCGCAATCAGATTGCTATTAGACGGTTGAATTTGTCCTCACTCATGTGGTTTCACACATACCCTTTTTTCAGAATTTGGTGATCAAAACAAAAAGCGTTGAGTTCATGCCATTTAATCTTTCTTTTGCAACTTTCTTAGTGAGTTTCTCCTTCACTACCTATGGAGTGTTCAAAATGGACCCTTTTCTCTATGTAAGTACTATGTTTCCTTCAATCCAAAATTTCAGCAGCTTTATAATCTCAACCATCGTAGCACCTATTCGTCAGTCTCATTTCTTAGTCTAAATTGCATCCTAAAACGTAGTTGAATTTCATTCACATCAAGCACCAATCAACCACATCACACTTGCATTACATAACCATTACGTTTATTTCTTGAATATTTTGGATGCAGATGCCAAATGGTATTGGAACAATGTTAGCCCTTGTACAGTTGGTTCTGTACTGCCGCTACAAAAATCCATCTGAAGAAGATGCGGAAGAAGAAGAAGAACCATTGCTAGCTACACATCCGTGACCGAATTTCCTTTGGAGAAATGCTTGGCCTTCAGTACAAAATTTACTTTGGAGAAATTCATCAATTTCTTCAAACTATACGTTGTTTGATATAAATTGTTACATTGAGAGAAGAGTATCAGATTTTGAAGGAATGTTTCTCATAAGGATGCAAATCCTTTTAATTCTTAGTGTGTAATATGTTATTTAAATATTTACCAAAGTTACTGCCTTCTTTTTTCTTGTCAAAGTGACATTTCCTTAGAGCTTAACTGGAAAATGAGGGTTCTCCCTCTGCTTAATAGACAACAGCAAGAATAGGCATCATGTACAGAGATATATATATATATTTTTTTTCAAATGAAGAAACATTAGGTGAGATCAGCTTAGCTCTTCAGCAATGGTCCTATGCGAGACACCTATCCTCCTGCGAAGGGGTGAAGATCATTACACCTAGGAAGCCCCTACCACGTCCCTCGTACACCAAATTTATTGATAAAAATGAAAGTACACAAAAAACATGCAGGCGGGGGACCATGCCAAGAACCGCAAGTACAAAAATCGCTAACAAAATGTCACGAGTATGAGCAGAGGCTATGAAATATGAAATTATAGACCGCCAGTAATAAGCATAATTATTTGCCTCAAATGAAGCTAACGCATCTGCAACCTGGTTTCCTTCTCTATAAAAGTGTGTACACATATATCGCATTCGACAAAGTCGCCGGAGATATACTAGGAAATTAAATCTTGTGTAACACTGGTATGCTAGGTAAGAGAATCTCCAACCGGCTCCGTAAATGAGCTCCCAAATAGAATTTAAGAATTTATTTCGAAAGAAAATCAACTACTTAATGCATAACGACTATTTTGAAGTTTTTTTCGATGAAACATGCACCAGTATGAATTTAGAAAGGCCATGTGAACTCATCACTGATCATGGCGGATGGTTCGTAACGTTTTGTGGTTTGGCATACATTCGTTTGCATCTGCAACTGGCAAATGTTTTGACCGTCTTGTTTCAATGAATATATACATTTCCACGTGCTTATTCCATGCCATTCTTAATTCGGTTGATTCCAATTCCTAATCACTCAATAGTTGATGCACACAATAACCTGAAAAGTAGATGAATATATAAATACGCATTATAATATTTTAAGTAATCATGTTTTAAATTATAAGTAAGGCAATCCGATTCTTCACGAGAAAGGGAAGAAAAAAAAAAGCACATAAATAAACAAATCGAAGACAAGACATCAAATACAAAATATATATTTTTCAATCATTTTCTTTTGTTACATATTTAAAAAGCACGTAATGTGAGAAGCAAAAAAATATAAGAAAGAAAAGAAAAAAAGAGTTTATAGAAAAATCTAAACGGCTTAGAATCCAAGACAAGTTTACAAATAATATTCACTCTTAAAATGTACTTAAGATACATTTAAAGCATCTCCAATAATGTATATTTCTTGTACTTATAAAATGAAGAAATACATGATCATTTTTTTGAACGACAATAACAACTATACTTTTAAATATAGAGATTGTGCTTCCTTGGATCTACATACATACATACATACATACATACATAGATACATACATACATACATATATATATATATATATATATATATGAATGGTGTACAATGCCTTTATGGATTTATCAATGTTGATGAGCAAATAATCAAACCAATGAAAATACCAAAACACCCAGAAAAATCAAGCACACAAGAACACAAGTTTCATATATAGTGGTTTGGTCAATGTCCATTCCATTTAGAGTATGAATCTCACATTGGAAAAAGAAATGACTTTGCATGTGTTTATCAGTAGTTATTCTTTATATTGTCAATTGGTTTATGGTCATGATAAACTTAAAAATTCATAAAATATAAGAATGTGTTAAGTGTATGAATCTCATATCCCAACGGTCAATATCGCAACACCTTAAATGAGGGCCAATTTCACAATAAATTGCAAACCAGATTTCTTTAACATGAGGCTTTGGGACCATTGTTACTTGTAATTAGTAACAAAAGTACAGCTAGCTCACTCTCTCTCTCAAGTAAATTGAGGTACTATGTAACATGAGGACGAGGAGGTCTTGACAGGTCCATTTTTGTTTTCATATACATATTTTTCATGTGTGAACACTTAATATGATTTGAGTTGTGCATAAAATTATCAAAATAAAATTTGATCAAGACATCCATTGTATTGTTCGTTGTCCCAATCAAATTAACCTGCCCAAAAATGCAAAATTGACAATAAAAAACTGGATGGTGCTATTCATACACTCATTTTTATTTTCCACATACTCCTTATCAATTTCTGTCATTTAAACTTTATACAATTCATTCGACCGAATAGCTGAAAATTGAGAAAATGTGAAAAGTAAAAACAAATGTATGGATAGCACGATCCTAAATAACCTTCTGTGTATTCTAATATATTTATTAATATAAAAGATGAGATGCGAATAAATTATATATATATATATATATATCACACGTGATAATAGCCAATATACAACGTATGTATAAGTGACTAGCAGGTTCCAAATAATTTGCATGGCCCAAAATCTATAAAAATCTCAACCAATTGATGAGTGAAAGTGAGGGATGAACCCACTTGAAGTCTATCTAAGCCACAAGTCGTATGCGGTCTAGCATTTTCCTGGGCAGCTGTATCACATATCTATTTAGTTTTATTACGATGATATAAGGGTTCAACGTTTAAACTTGAATGATATAACTTTATTGTGTGGTTAAAACCGTCATAAAATCATTGTACATAACCTATTGTACGTTCAATATATAAATGTATGGATTATACTTGCATTTGGCTAACTTGGAGTACTAACGGTTCCCAATTTCCCATCATAATACCATAGTTTTAATAATCTGATATCATTAGTTTAACAAAAACTTTCTGTGGCAAATTAAAGAAGTCTCGAAAAGTTGGTAGTAAATAATAGATGGTGTAAGTTATCTGGGGTCCTCTGTAACAAGTATATATATTAAGAAAAATCCTTCTCGTTTGGACTATTAATATACAAAGTTACAAGAGAGGGAGAGAGAGCTTCTGTTTGGTGTGGAGTAGCATTGAGTAAAGTTGAATACTTACATTTGTTGAGCAGTTGTTTTGATAATTGACATAGATCGATGTTGCCGACTGGACTGTTTTCTGTTTATTTAGGTTGGAGTACTGCAGCCGGCATTGCAGGTACCCTTCTTTATCTTAACACCATATCTGCTTCATTACGCTTCTTCCATTTTTTGATCAAAAGCGGGGGAATTGAACTTCGGACCTCCGGTGCAAGGGTAAGTTCATAGTTTTATGTTTTTTTTTTTAAGGAAGCAAAACCATGTATTCTGTTGAGTGACTTTATAAGATATTGTTGTGGTGATTGGAGGTTTTTGGAATCTTGATTTATGAAGAAAAGCATATGTTGTTCAAGATGCATGTGAGGCTAGGCTAACCAGGGCAATATGCTCACTCCTTTTACCCGTGTTTGAATCCCCTTCTCCGTAGACAGAGTTAATTTAGAATACCGCCTTGTCAAAAAGATGCCTAAGAATCAGTTGGAAATATATGTCTATGCAGTTTTGGAATCTAGAAAAAGAAAAGAATGTCTCAGATTGCTAGTTTAACACATATCTTTGTCAATTGCAGGGAATATCTTTGCCCTTGTGTTATTTGTGTCACCAATGTAAGTTACTTAAAAAGTTCACGAAAAAATGGAGATTAATGAAATTTTGCTCTTTATTCTGATCATATAGCCATGTTTTGTTTTCCAGACCAACATTTAAGAGAATTATCAAAACTAAGTCAACAGAACAATTTTCCGGATTGCCTTACATATATGCACTTTTGAACTGCTTGATATGCTCCTGGTATGGCATGCCTGCTGTGAAAACTGGGATTATACTGGTGGCTACAGTCAATTCAATCGGGGCCGTTTTCCAGTTAGTCTACTTAAGCATTTTCATTAGGCACGCCGAAAGAGCGATCAAGGTGATATTCTTCCCCAAATCTACCAGCTCATGTAGACAGCCAATGCCTATTAAAACACTGCATGACTGCGTTCTTGAAATTTCTTTTTGCAGCTGCGGATGATGGGATTGATAGCGGCAGTTATTGTTGTGTTCGCGTTGGTTGTCTTTGTGAGCTTGGGGCTTTTAGACTACAACGAGAGGCAAACGTTTGTCGGATACCTGAGTGTTGCTTCGCTCATCTCAATGTTTGCTTCGCCGCTGTTTATCATAGTAAGTTTGCGTGTTAAATTTTTCGCTCACAGGTTTTGGACAGCGCAATTTATCCTCACACATATGGTTTCGCGTGTACCCTTTTTCAGAAATTGGTGATCAAAACAAGGAGTGTCGAGTTCATGCCATTTAATCTTTCTCTCGCGACTTTTTTGATGAGTCTCTCTTTCTCTGCATATGGAGTGCTCAAGGAAGACCCTTTCCTCTATGTAAGTGTTGTGTTTTCTGCAGCAAGATGTTAACATGCCAAACCCGAATTTCGGAACTTGTGTTGATCCTCTTCAAATTACATTTTGGATGCAGATCCCAAACGGTATTGGAACAATTTTAGGGCTTGTCCAGTTAGCTCTGTACTCCTACTACAGCAAAATATCCGAAGACGCCTCAAGAGAGCCATTGATAGTTTCATACGCCTGACGAACATATTGGCATCCTTAATACATTAAGAAGTGAAAGTTTCTTTCAGCTGCCAAGAGGAAAAGATTGCATTCGGGATGTGTAGGATCGCCGGAAAGGCATTGATTTTGTCTGTATCACTAAATCTATATAAGCTTCTTGGCCTGAATAGGATGAGAAGTACTCTAAAAAGTGTTACAGTGAGAGAGCAGTGTATCAGATTTTGTATGAGTTTTACAGGGTGGAAACTAAAGCATATAGAAAAAGGTAATGTTCCAACTATTCTTTAGTTGGAAAATTTCTCTTAGTGTTATAAATAGGCAAAAGTTAGAGAGATAACATTTACTAGTGACTGGAGCGAAGTAGGTGTAAAATACCACATAGTAACTATAACACAAGGAGATGACAAATAAAAGAGGGAGGGATAGATAGTGATGTTATTGATCTTTTCTTATTTTCAGTGTATTTTGATAGTACACGGACCGCTCTATTTATAGAGCAACTCCAAACAAACGTAATAATTACATCTTGAAATTTACAGTACACACCTTTTGAAAATACGATCCTTATTCATTTCCCAAGTCCACATTACTGTGTAGACATTAATCCACCAATAGTTTCAACATTACTGTGTGGGCATTCATTAACCCATAAATATTTTCAACACTTGGTATCTTTTAACTACTACACATTACAAGATCAACACGAAATGTAACGATATTCTGAGTCGTTTACTAGCAAACTCCTAATTAAAATAAACAAAATAGCATCTCAAATTTGCCTGAAAGTTTTGTTTATGAAGTCACTTAGACTTTGAAGACTAAGGCGCATGGGGTGTCAACTGTCTACTAATGATATCAGAATAGATAGTTTGAAAGATTCAAATCATCCGACTACCACTGCATTAACCCGTGAGATGCCATAAACTTCTGGTTTTCCTTTGAAGTCGTGAACATATCCTTGCACGTACTTTGCCAAATATTGGAGGTGTTAGAAAATGTACGTTCTCCTAAAAACAAAGCTACCATTTTAGAGCAACATCTTTTCCACCAGCTGATCTATTTTTTTTTTATCAAAAAAAAGAAAAAACTATAAAAAAAGTAACCAAACTCGAAACTTTTGGGTTGGATTCCATCCAAGTAACAAAAAAAACAACACAAAAACTAAGGCTTCTAAATTTTACGTTCCCTTGTATTATACACCAACAAATATAACTAAAAAATTATCCAAACCTATGTCGTAGAAAGGTTTAGGGTTCAGGTTTTGCAAAAGCCCAACTTTGATAAAACAATGAAGGCAGCCCAGCCCGTTTCCAAAATAAGAACAGTTGTAGCCGAACAAAAGCCCATCATCCCATCAAAGTATAAAATCCAACGCATACCGCTCCGAAGCCCTCTAGGGTTCTTGTAACAAGCTTCAGCTGCTCGTTTCTGTATCGACGCCGCGGCAAATCCACCATGGTATCACTCACCCTCTCTCTCTCTTCTTCTCTCCCACAGTATTACGTGCAACTTGGTTCTCTTAGTTTTTTGTTTTGGATCTGGTTATGCAATAATTACTGATAAATTTAATCGTGAATTTGATTCGAAGGGACTGTAGCAATTTCGTGTTATGTTTCAGCTTAAATATAAGATTAAATAATTTATATTTGGGTTGAAGTTTATGGGTTTAATCTGATTTCGTTGATAGTTTAGGGCTTTGCTGTTGTTTTGCAATTTTGTTCTTATGCTTCCTACTTCTATGTCAGATTGCATAAATCCGTTTGGTCAGTAATTCGTTTCTCCTGTTTATTACTGTACCTGGGTCTTCATCCGATTGCTGAATCGTTTTCAATTTTGCTCTGCTGTTTGATTTATTTGCTTCTATGTCAGATTGCATAAATCGTTTTCTGTTCTGATGGTCTGTTCGATTTCTTTTAGAAGTTTAAAGATTACACATTTTTCTGTTTGATTTGTTTGAAACTTACTTTATCTGGGTTTTGATCAGATTTCATAATCCGTTTTCTGTCTTGCTTTTGGCTTGATTCGTTTGCATATGGATCGTAACCTATGTCGTAATTTTTCAGGTGAACGTTCCCAAGACGAAGAAGACCTACTGCAAGAGCAAGGAGTGCAAGAAGCACACCCTGCACAAGGTCACACAATACAAGAAGGGCAAGGATAGTCTTGCTGCTCAGGGAAAGCGTCGTTACGATCGCAAGCAGTCTGGCTATGGTGGACAGACAAAACCAGTCTTCCACAAGAAGGTATACGACAGCTTAATTCATCCCTTGTTATTTGATTTCAAATTTGTTGCATCGTTAACTTTGACGTTGACAAACAGGCAAAAACTACTAAGAAGATTGTGCTGAGGCTCCAATGCCAGGGTTGCAAGCATGTATCCCAGCACCCGATCAAGGTTAGTGTTATGGTGCAAATTGCTCCATTTGTTGTCTGCCTTAGATTATCGATAATATCTAACGCGCACTGGTTTTTTCTGCAGAGGTGCAAGCACTTTGAAATCGGTGGAGACAAGAAGGGGAAGGGAACATCTCTGTTTTAAATGCATTGCTTTGGCTTGTACTGTTATGTTACGAATGTTGTTGAAGCTTCAAAGCAAATATGGATGAATTGTTTCAAGTTTTTGTTAGTTTTACGTTGAACATCGATGCGTTTGTGACACTAATTTAACTATCAGTTGAGATTGAGATTAGAGTAACAATGCAGCCTTCGCCGTGATTTCTACTGTATATGTTTCAATTTGCATTCGTTTAGAAGTTGCTCTTCAGTTTTAATTTAATTTGTTAACAGTGAAGGTTTTCTGGTTCGGAATTTTAGATTTTATTGATGTGACGGACTTACATGGATCGTTGTGTTCCAAATCAATCATGTGTCGTCATTTAGATAAACTCGAAACATTTGCCTGTCGTGCTAAAATGTTTGGAACTCAACAGTGTACTCCCTAGTGTGATGTAAGCCAATATTTGTTTTGAAGGGTTTGTGGGATAAGTGGGGTCTTGAGCTTGAGAGTTGTTTAGCTTTGCTATTTGTTTTTGATCAACGGGAAACGCAACCAATGCAAAGGGAGGGTTTTTGGGTTCGGCTACCTTCTTGTTTTCCCGACCAATATACGTGGGTCGGAGCATTTTGGCTCACCGTCACAAACTAAGATGTATGCTCATTATACACTTAATTATTTATCATGTGTCTGTTCATCTAATTCAAGTTAACTTTCATATTAAATGTTTTTTTTTAATTTTGAAAAAAAGTTAACCAAACCTAAATGAAATGACACATGACGGATGATTAGGTGTATGATGAGCATACACTATAATTTGTGGCAGTGAATAAAAATGCTCCCGACCTACATATGTTGATCAGTCTCATTTCTATTAAAGAGATAATACAATTTGTGATAAGTGTCTTTTCTTAACTGAATGCTAATAAATTTAACAAGGAAATATGAACAAATTAAATATCAAATTAGGCTGTCTATTATATGATTTTGCCTAACTTCTCATCGCTTTAATATAAAAATATTACTGTACTTGTAAAATTAAAAAAAGAAAAAGAAAAAAAGAAATGAAACTTCGATTCGAACAGAACAAGGGAAGTCAAAGGGCAAAACGGTAAATTCACAAAAGGGAAATGGAGAATCTAATAAATATCGCGCAGAAAGATCCGATGATTCCCATCCAATCCAAGTCTGCGAGTATTTAAAATTTTAAAAATAAAAATAAAAATCCTAGCTGTATTGGGAGATCGAGCGAGACGAGAAAAACCCTAACCCCTCACTCTCTCCCTCCCTCCCTCCCTCCCTCCCTTCTCCTTCTTCTCACGCCTCCTCTCACTGTAAAGCCCTAGTCCCGCATCCTATCCCCACATTCGCGAGGGGGCTATTCAGCCCTCTCGCTCTCGCCGCAACGCACGATCTCTCGGTTGTTTTGCTCTCTACTTTCGATTCGATTCAGGTGAGTTCTCCTTCGATCCTTGGCCTCTGATTTCCCAATTTGTTTTTTTGGCGTTTTTAGTCGTTGTTTTGATCTGGGTTTTCTTCCTTGTTACTTTTAGTTTCTTGGGGTTTTTTTTATTTTTTTCCGTCGGTGTGATGATTTTGTATGGGGTTTTTAGGCGTCTTATGTTTTTGGGGTTTCAGTAATTACGTTGTATTTGGGGTCAAATTTCGTTAATGCCAACAGCGTGATTTTTCGCACTCGGATAGTTCGGAAGTCAACAGATTTGAGTTGGGTTTGATGCTTGGTTAATTTGTGTTGAAGTTCTGTAAATTACTATTTAGTAATTTGGTACGACCCTTGATTATAGTTAGTGAATTCCATAAGTTTGAGGACTTCAATTGAAAGTTTATGGAAAAAGGTGGAGGGGTTTATCTAAATAGTAAATACCAAGTGTTCCTGTTTTTTTTGAACTTTTACTGTATACTATTAACTGTTAAGTAGTGCACTTGTTACATTCGTAAAATATTCGTCGCTCATTTTCTGCAGAGAGTGGTGATTTTCATGCCTTTATTGTGAGAGGGAACTGGTATTCTTAGTGTTATTACGTATTAGGAGGCCATGCAAATTTGTCCAAGAACTTGAAGTTCGGGTTTTCTTGAGAGTTCACGTAGTTCCTTACGATGATTGCCACTAAAACCATGCTGTCGAGCAACAAGCTGAAGATTAAATTTGCCTGCAAAAGAATTGAAGCTGATCCTGGAAAAAAATTGGAAGCTGATACTAATTATTCTAGGAGTCACTCGCATGACTATGGGCATCAAGCCTCAATCAGGGAGGTCAGTGCAATGGCGAAATCTTCACTTCCAGGTTCTAAGAAGCGTGGATCCTCTGTCGATCTTGAGGGTCAGAAAGAGAAGAAGAGGAAGATTGATCGTAGTGTGAAGGTGCAATGCTTGACAATCCTTAAAACACTGATGACTAAAAAGGAAAGCTGGCCTTTCAATGAACCGGTTGATCCTGTGAAGCTGAGAATCCCAGATTACTTTTGCATCATCTCTCATCCCATGGATTTGGGCACGGTAAAATCAAAGCTGCAGAAAGATTTGTACTCCAGTGCTGAAGAGTTTGCAGCCGATGTCAGGCTGACTTTTTCTAATGCCATGCTCTATAATCCTCCTGGCAATCCTTTTCATCATCTGGCAGAGAACCTGAATAGTTTTTTTGAGATTAGATGGGGTCTTTTAGATGAGAAGTTGAGTCATGGAAGCTCCAAGGTTGAATCAGGGAATCCATCAAGTGGGCAAATTAAGAAAGTAACTTGTGCTAGACAGAATCCAGGCAACTCTCCTCCCTTGCACAATAGTTTGGTGAGCAAGAGGCCTATTTCAGGCGAAGAGAAGGTCAGAGTCCCTGTTGGTGCAACTGATGCTGAGGTAAGTGATAGTCATGAAATTGTGATTTTTTATGTTTACAATAATGCAGACTGGATTGCTTCAAAAACAAATAAAATTTGGAGTTTTAAGCCTGTCAGCTAATAGATGGTAGCTTGTCTTTTGTTCTATTATTTAAAAAGCTGATGCTGTTGAAGAGCATTTTCCTTTTCTACCTGAGTAATGTATGTATATTTTGTTTATAGGCAGAGCTCTCTAAAACAGCTCAGAATTCTAATCCCAAATTGTCACAGAACTTAAATAGAAGCACCGATAGTGCCTGTAAACAAGCTTCAGGCTCTATTAATGCAAAGCAGCCATCAAGCCTGGTTTGCTTAAAATGTGGCTCGTGTGGCAACATTGCATGTCAATGCAGGCGTCCTAGTGACTCAACCCATAAGTCCTTTAATGGTTAGATTATCTTTTCATTTGCTGCAACTTTCCTGTAATATAGTATATGGTTGAACAATGGATTTATTTCTCTCTCCTCTGGTTCAGACAAATCTTCTGAAAGGTCAATGGGCAGAGAACATGGTTTGTCTAATTCTAATGTACCCAGACTGGTATGTATGATGATGCTTCTGTTACTGTTGACATTTCTCATGAGGACTTTTATGTTTCTTAGCGATAATTGGAGCTTTTATTCAATTATAGGATTGTCAAACAAAAAGCTTGTCAACATCCCAGACGAGCAAATCAGATCCAGAATCTGATGGTGAGATGACGCAGCATATTAAGATATTTAGCCACTTAGTTATTTTTAGTGATCTGATCCAGAACGATGTTGCAAATTATGTGAAGGGGCTTTAAGTGCTTTGGATGGTGAAAACATATGTTCCAGTTCTCGGCTTACAACTCCAGTATTGGATGCTGCTTCTGGGGAAGGTCAGTTTATTCACCAGCAATGCCAAACTTAAGTATGACCGCTGGCTATTTAGCTTGGCATATTTAGACTTACTAATTTGGTGGTCTTACTCATTTCTTTCAGGATGGAGCACTTCTCTTTTTGATGTTGAACTGTCACCAAAAAGGGCTCTTCGTGCTGCAATGCTAAAGAGTCGCTTTGCAGACACTATTTGGAAAGCTCAACAGCAGAAACTCCTAGATCATGTAAAGCTTGTTGGATACCGTGTTAGAACATTTTCACGTGATTATTTGATAGCTTTTAGCATTTGGGTTTGCTTATCCAATGTTTCCTCCTTGTATCCAGGGTGATAAAAGTGATCCACTTAAGATGCAGCAAGAAAGGGCTAGACTGGAGAGGAAGCATCGTGAAGGTAAATAACTTGTTTTTTGCCTGAAAATAATCTAGTTTTGATTTTCTAGCGATGCTACTTTTGTTTCTTCCTTTAGTGTATTTCATCATTTTGGGTTGGGAGATTCTTTATTTTATGCGACTGTAGCCAATGGTTATACCATGTTACGTTAGCCTAATGGTATTTTTTCCTTTCTCGTGACTTGCAATGAGAAAGTGCTCGCTTTCGATATGTTTGTTTGCAACCCCCCCGACTTTAGCCTTTTGCATTGATTGCTTTCTTTCACCTACTCCTAAGCCTGTCTCTGCGGAAAACATTTAATATCTCAATTAGTAACATTCTATTATTGTTAAATTCATAAGATACTACAGTGCATCAGTCATAGACCAAGATCTCCTTATTGATCCTGTTGCCACCTGCCTATAATTGACGGTCTTAAGCTTACCTTAATTACAGAGAAAGCAAGGATCGAAGCAGAAATAAGAGCTGCTGAAGCTGCCACACGAATGAGGGCTGAGAATGAGTTGAAGCAGCAACGGGAAAGAAAAAGAGAAGAAGCTCGAATGGCAGTTGAGAAGGTTTACCTTTGTTTTAAAGTTTTTACGGGTTCTTGCATGAATGTTGTCTCTTTTTTCGCCTTTGTGGTCTGACTTTAATAAAATCCCTTATCCAGATGAGGCAAACAGTTGAGATTGAGACAAGCTTGAAGATCCTAGAGGAACTTGGAAGGTTTACTGGGTTCTCCGTATCCGCTCCTATTCTCAACTTTAATCGTGGGTCTGGGGCTTTCGGGGGGTCACATCCCCAATCTCCTTTGGAGCAGCTAGGTTTATTTCTAAAGCCCGAATATTCAGGAGATGACGATGATGACGACGACGACAACGAATCAACGCTGTACGGGGATGGGGAGGAAGGAGAGATTGTTTGATACGCGGTGGTTTCCGTCGGTCTGCTATTATTTATGTGCGCTCTATTTTTCTAACTCGGGATGTTTCATATTAGTCTGCTGAGAGGGAAGAGAGACCGATGTAAATAGTTTTCCAGTAGTGGACATGTTGACTGAACACACGTATATAATATATATATATATATATATATATATATATATAGTTCTCTATCTTAAAGAACGAAAATGATATTGTTCTTCATCAGCTCTCTCTCTCTCTCTCTCTCTCTCTCTCTCCTGGAATGTTCTTAGGCAGAGTTGTATAATGCTATAATGTATGGTTCGATGAGTAGTGATTCATGAGTTCGAATTTGATTCTACTTTTCACAATGATTTATTTGAAGAAATTCTTAGGTCCGGATGATATGGGAAGTTCCAACCACGTGCCCATTCGGTCAAAGACATTTCCTTCGGCTCCACTAGATGTGTTTACGGCTCGATGGGCTTGGTGGTTTGGTGGTCCAGACTCAGAAGAATTTCTCTTGACTCAACCCTGTTCATAAATACGAAAATAAGTGACTCTTGTCCTTATTTTATATACATGCGATTATTTTGAATTTTCAAATTGAATTAATTAAAAAATATTTAAAAGCTAAAAATAATTAAGGTTTTTTAGTTAAAATGATTTATGAGTTTAACATAATATTTCACTTTGATTCTGACATTGAAAATCGATAAAAGTTGTTATGAGTTTGTCTATCGTAAATCATTTTGATCATTTTTGTGAAAAATCTTTGTTAAATTGTGGGCCTGTCCAATAAACCGTTCCTTAGTAAAGATTTTTTAGGGAAAAACTAAAATGATTAATGATGGATAAATTTAGAAATCACTTTCATCGATTTTTAATGTCAAATACCAAAATAAGAGTTATATCAGTTTCAATGACTATTGTGAGCGTTTATGGGCCAAGCCCACCACCATTTCCACAATCTGAGCTCTGTAGATTGCCTGATTATCGAAACGCAAATGTTTCACATTTCGCACAAGAAAAGAAACGCCGAGAGAGAAAGAAAAGAGAGCGCAAGAAACTCCTATGCAAACCGTAACAATGGTGGTCGAAGACGCACCCAAGACTTCAGCTTCCGAAGATCAGGCCAAGACCGAGGCGCACCTTATGCCGAGGGCGGAGGACGACGACGAGACCGAAGAAGGAGAGATCGTTGGCGATCAAGATTCGGCTTCTTCGAAGCCGTCGAAAGGAATAGCGCCGCAGTCACACCCTCTGGAGCACTCCTGGACCTTCTGGTTCGATAACCCCGCCGCCAAGTCCGCCAAGCTCAAGCAGGCGGATTGGGGTAGCACCATCCGCCCGATCTACACCTTCTCTACCGTCGAGGAGTTCTGGAGGTTAATTTCTTTCATTTCCTCTGTTTTTGGGTTTAGTTTTGTTTGGTTGGTAGGAAAACTGAATCTTTCGCGTTTGTTATGTGCTTGCTGTAGTTTGTGATAAACAAATTTGGCGGTTTTGGGTAAAGGAAATGGATTTGGTTTCGTATCGATGTAAACCTAGAAATTGGAAACTATGGAACTCACGGAACTGCTCTGTGATTTAGAGTGATGATTTGCTTCCCCACCGTTAAAAGTTCGAGATTTTGGTTTCTATTGTTTTCCTACATTTTCTTAGTGCCCCCAATGTTTTCATTTCTTTTCGTATCTTTTCTGTAAATTCGTTACTGGGTTCTGTTTGAGATAAATGTTTTGGGGTGTTTGTGTCGATTTCGGTTCCTTACATTACTCGGTTCTGTAAATCCACGTGTTGATTTCACACGGCGTTGAAATAATTGCTAGAAGCGGTTTCCTTAGATCTTTGGGGTGCTTCGAAATGTATCAGTGTGGATGTTTGCGATCCAAGTAATGTTATTTAAGCAAGCACGGTAGTATTTCTGTTGTGGGATTTGAGCTAATTAACCGTATGTATAACGAACTCTTTGGTTCCTTTTTCATAAAGACACCTAAATCGAAAATGTTATCTAAAAAAACTGTATGTAATGAGAATTACTTGCATGGAACTGCACAAATTATCCAGCAGTTGCGCTTGCTGTCTGCCCCTGTTCCTATTTCTTTATAGGGACTCAAATTTGCTCATAATATTTGTTTTGCATTCAGCATTTACAACAATATACGTCGTCCGAGCAATTTGAATATGGGGACCGATTTCCATTGTTTCAAATACAAAATTGAGCCAAAGTGGGAGGATCCTGTTTGTGCTAATGGAGGAAAGTGGACTGTCACTTATCCTAAAGGGAAATCTGATACCCCTTGGTTGTATACGGTATTGTCTAAACTGAAAGTGGTATTTGAGGGTGAATTGACATGTGTATATATGTGTGCGTGCGTGTGTGGGCCTCTAATTGTTGTATTTTCTGGTACTAGTTGCTAGCAATGATAGGAGAACAGTTTGATCATGGAGATGAAATCTGTGGAGCAGTTGTCAATGTCAGAACTAGGCAAGAAAAAATAGCTCTTTGGACCAAGAATGCAGCAAATGAAGCTGCTCAGGTAATTGCTGATTGACTCCCTGTATGATGTGTATTGCACGAAGGCACATTACATACATGAAAGTTGAAAATTATAAAACTTTTGTATCATTACATTAGATAGAATTTCACAGCATCACATTTTTGGGTTTGTTGCTTTAGCAGAAGGAAAGATTTCCTTTTTATTTCTAGCATAAGTTTTTTTTTGTCTGTGTTGCTATAGTCCTCCCGGCTGCAAGGAAGAAAGAAAGAATTATTCGTAAAGTTGATCAATTTATGTTTCTCCCCCTAAATCTGTCAAGACCCTCGGCGATTCAACTGCTTTCCCCTTTAGTCAAATGTATGGTCCCTTATAAAACCAGAAGGTGGCCACTTGGCTGCTATAGGGCCAAATGGTTTATAGGAATCTATTTTGTACATAACTTATACTTGTTGAGCCGGACTTATTGCCTACTCTAAACACCGAGCGTGGAAACAGGCCCTTTCTTTGAGAATATGGCAGTCAGATTACATGCACTTATTGTATTTATAGCTATGAGTTGCATTCTGGTAAAGAAAGTTGCAATGATGTCTCATAGCCACTTTCTTGCTGCAGCTGAGCATTGGGAAACAATGGAAGGGGTTTCTGGATTGCAATGAAACTATTGGATTCATATTTCATGTAAGGATGTTATTTCTTACGTATATTATTCGTTATTCTATTCAGTTTCATGTCATGTTGGGGGCCTCGTAAATAAGTAATACCCTATATGCTCTGGTTTTTGCAGGAGGATGCGATGAGACAGGAGAGAGCTGCCAAGAATAAATACGTAGCCTGATGTGTATGGTGTTGTTCTTTGGTAGCGCTCAATGCTGTCCAAACTGCAACAGCATTCTATACTAGCATGCAGAGTAACTTCTGACTAATGTTTGCTCTCTTCGGGCCTCGTACGTTTACAATTACGGATTTTAGACGACTTCGTATTTTCGGTTTAAGATGTGAATGTGCTACAACGGATGAGTTATATGACTGAGTTTGTTGAGTTGTTTACGTCCTACGAAACTGTTCTGCTTGCATCCGAATCTACTAGTTACTTGGAAGACTATAAACGCAAGAAACAGAATCGCATTGAAGACTCTTCAATTATTTCGTTTAACTCGATCTTATTGTTAAGTAACGAACGCAGTCCATACAACCATCACGTAACTAACATCCACGAAGAAGTGGAGGACCAGCCAAGTCTCCATACTTTTATTGTTGGAGGACCACCTGCAAGTGTAAGACGGGAACATCGCAGGAAGCCTCTGTTGCTATAAACCTTACCGTCACCCTATAGTCATCGGAAAGGTTAACGGCCTTTCCGATGGCCGGTTTGGTTTGACGACGTTTTGGGTTTTGATTCTCGCGCCTATGAGGCGGAGATTGACACTGCAAATCGTCCTTGAAAGAACAAGCTCTTCTAGCGAATTTGAGTTGCCGTTCATGCAAGTTATATTTGTTCACTTCTTGATGCATGTAGGCGTGGCGCATGTATTTGCCGGCGCGGATCGATCTTTGATATGATTTTAATCTTGCTTTTCACCAATTGTGCAATATGCATTCCATGTCTTGTGTTATTTATAAGAAAAACAAGTGGCATCATGGAATTGGGGCAATTTTGAAGTTGATAGAATAGTTTAATCCCGCACATCAACCATTTCAATTTTAAAAGTGAATTATATGCTGTAGGTTGCACGTGCCTTGTAGCTCAATTGGTAACTTAAGAGCATACGATTATGCATTTGAGGTTCCATGTTTGAATCTCTCTCTATAGTTTAGATGAATTTAATGTAGATTATCTTATCTTTTATATAAAAATAAAAAAAAATTATATGTTATAGGTTACGTATAAGAATAATATTTTGTCATATTTAAGCCTAACACGTGCACAACCATATTGGGTGACGTGAGAGCACGTGGATAACATCTGATAATGTACGAGAAGTAGAGGTTTCACCCTCAAACTAATTGGCAATAGGAGAAATAACCCACCCCCTATATGCACATGCAAATTTCTTTAAATCTCCGACATGGGATTCACACTACCAACGCAAATCACACACTCAACTTGCAAGGAAAATAAATCTGAAAATTAACTGTCTGCAAGCTTATGATTCTGTACAACCCAAGTTCAGACATTTGATAAGAAATTTATCCCTGAGAAGATATATACTGCACTTACTTGTACCTGTATAGTAGTTGCATATATATATGTCCAAGTTTATATTGCATGCCCTTATTTTCTCACAGTGCAAAGGGAGATGCCAAAGTTGTCAACTTCTTTCGAAGAAACAGAGGAATAAAGGAGCTAAAAAAACAAATTCACAACTCCTGGGAAAACCTGAGATGAATATTCGACGTCGTTGCAAACTTGCAATATTCAGTTTCTTGATTGTATTTTTGTGCAATATCCAACATCATGTTAATTGACTTTAATTCAATGTGTGCGTGAACTATATCCTATCTTGCCAATGTGTTCAATGAGTGTTTTCTGGACACCTGGGTTTGAAATTTCTTCATGTTTGATACGGTGCTAGTATTTCTATTTATTTTTACTTACGTTTTTAGAATTCATTCTATGTGTCATATATTCAGAGAAATGGGTCACTGGCCCATTCATAACCATATTAGTATTGTCACACTTAACTATTTTATCACAAAAGGGGATAGCATGAATTGATATTAATATTTTTATTTACAGGTGGGTGGGAAATTATGCAGGTGAGAATAACAAACTAACAACACGCTTATGAAATTGTACCAAACTCATCCTAACTTGATAAAAAACGTGACTCATGTCAAGTTGGAATTCAAAAACTTCACTTCTTCAAGAATTATTTCGTTTTGTAAGACATAACTGTGTATAAATAAAACTTAAATCAGGGATTTTTATAAGATATAAAACGATATATAACACAATAATCATCACTTTATTAGAACAACCACACATTTTATTTCCTTTCTCACTTTTACTATATAGGATACACAACATACCAAATAGAAGCTGGCTTGCTTGCTGTACAAAGAGCGCCTTATTTCATAGCAGAATGATTCATTCCCAGTTTCCAGAATCCACATATTTGGAAAAGCATATGTGCATATATATATGCACAACATTAATTATTGTCACACCATATAGTACTATATATCTTGATTAATGACTCATTGATTAAATAAGTGATCGATCAGTCATTAATCAAGCATTTTAGATTTTCATTTGCTCCAAGTACGATTTTCCATCAAGCCTACGGCGGGAGATGAAATCGTTGATGTACTTTTCCATCCCAACCCTTTGGAACAGTGGTGGGTTTTCTGGGGTTACCAAGCTTCTGAGTGGCCCAATCTCCGCCTCAAATTTAGGGTTGAAGAACATCGCAACCGACACCCTTTCTTTCTCTGAATTCACCATTACCCTGTGTTCAACGCTTTTGTAAACTCCGTTGCTCAGCATCTGCAAATGTAATATAAATTTTCCTTAATATTGGTGTCCCCATATATGCCATGATCTAAGGTATAGTATTACCATATGAATACACATATAATAACATAAATGAATTAATAGCACGGGTACAACGATTTGACTTTTTACACATAAGAAGTCATTCCTTCTCCAGTGACGATATGAAACAATTACTCAGTGTCATTGAAAGAACATGGACTTAAGTCGTGAAGCCAAGTATTGTCCTAATATGATAGATTCAAGTTTTTATTTTATTGTTAAATGATTGAACTCAATAGCCTCAACTCATTAACAGTGGAGTGATACTAGAAATATCATCTCTTAAATTATATTTTGTAGATTACATGATGTGGAAGAAGGAATCCAACTGTCAACCATCACATTATGTGATCCACAAAATATGATCTAAAAACATGATCTCCATAATATTTTTCTTAACACTACACTAATTTTCCGCTGCGTTGTTCGTTCATTCTTCTTTACATTAACCAATTTTCCACAGCCTGGTGTGTTCATTCTACAGCCCAATCCAATAATATTGATAAAGCAAGTACGCACCGTTTCATTTTAAGGAGTATTGCCTGTTGCTAACGTGAGTGTGTGGAGTACTCATGCATCATGCATCATGCAAATCTCAAATTTTCTTTCTGCCCGCGCTCACGTCTTTTGCTGCAGCTTATCTAATTTATGCCTCAATTTCACCAATGTTGTTTATTACTTATATATTTAACGTTACATATTTTACCGCTAAATTTAGTGTAACAATCTTTCTTTATTCAGTTAGATCATTAAAATCAAATGCAACAGTTAATAATTGTCCGCACCTAGTGCTTGTATAGTACTGAACAATTTCGTTTCAAATATTCCCACACACTCATATATAGAGATTCGAAATCCGACGTTTGCTAACCTTAGACCTACTCCAAAGCTTGGGAGTAAAACTTAAATTTTAGGTTCTAAACTTACCTCAACTTGCTCCAACCTTTGAGCAAATATGAGTTAAAACTCAAAACTCATTTCTAGGCCAAATTTAGCCTAGGATATTCCACCCATAATTAGTGGGGCTGGCCCACCATATATGTACATTTTTTTTTAGTTTTATACTTATAAATTCATTAAATCCAATGGTTAAGATCTAATTTGATGAAATCCAATAGTAAATAAAAAAAAATCTAAAGGTCCAAATTTAAATCCAACAGCTAAAATAATTTAAAAAAAAATCTTTTATGTGTTTCATATTTTTTCATAGTGTTTCACGAGTTTCATGGTGTCGGTTAGTGATTTTTCAATATTTATCAAAATATAAATATTTTTAGGTTAAAATGTTCATAAAATTAAATTAGGATAGTCTACATAATTTTTTTTTTCTTTTAAAAAAAACTTAGCCTAAATTCATTATTTAATAATTTGGAGCTAAAATTTTAACTCAGAAGGATTGGAGCAAAAAAGTTATTTCTAGATTAAAACATAAATTTTTTCTGGATTAAAACCTATATTTTATGGACTAAAAATTTTAGATTTTAACTCAAGGGTTAAAGATGGTCTTAGTAGTCTTTTTCTCTTTCGTTTATTATCTTTTTTTTTTATTTCTACTTTGTGGTCGAATATATAGCCTAGAAAAGAAGTGCGAGGAAAGAAGTATATACAAGACAAACCTCAAAGATGTCCCCGACATTCACTACAAAGGCATCTTTTTGGATGTTGACAGGCATCCAAGCCCCGTCCTTTTTAATTTGGAGACCGCCAACTCCATTAAGCTGGTTGAGGATGGTGATCCCAGATACATCTGAGTGAGGTGAGATCCCTATAACCAGCTCTGGTTGTGGACATGGAGGATAGTATGTCATCCTCACTGATTGCATCCCGTCTTTATCGAACAACTCCTCTATCTCTCTCATCTCTGTCTTCAGAGCTTTCACCATAAACCCAAGAAGTCTCATGGCAAGTTGGTCCAATTCCACAAAGTATGACTCCAAGGTATTCCTAGTATATACCAAGAAAACATGTCAATTTAATAAAAAATTTGAAAAACGGGGTGCATGCGTGTTTGAATGCGTAAGAGAACAATTGTATACAAGTTTAGGGGCCATTTCATAATCATTTTCATTTAAGTTTTGAGCTTTTGTTTCATTTTGTTTTCAAAAATAAAAAATTGAAATGGTTATCAAATTGGGCGCTTAAAGATTTATCAAAGAGAGGACCTGATGGATGAAGGGAGCTCTGCGAAGAGGTACGGCTTTCTTCGATGAATAGGGTTGGTTATCATAAATAACCTATCACCCCAGTCAATCTTTTGGTCTTTGGCATTGGCTATGTTTCCATAGCCTTCAACATCACCTGACCTTATTGCATATTTCATTTTCTCTTCCAAGGGAAGCTTAAAGAATACTTCAATCTCATGTTTCAGATTCTCTAACAGCATCGGGTTAACTCCATGGTTTGAGTTTTCTCCAACTTTAGTTTGATAAGTTATGTAGACATATATATAATAAATTAAAATTCGTTTACACAATAACAAAAATTAATCTAGAAATTAGAAATAGGAAGAAAA